GTCCGCTCATTAGACACCTTCACCGCCGTCTCTTGCATCGCTCCCCCTATTCCTCATCTTCTTATACATCCATACACCTAGCTCAATTGGACCGTGTATCAACAAAGGTGACCATTCTAAGTTTTCAGCCTGGTCAGATTTGTGTGTCGAATATGTAGTACTTCGAGCGCTGGATGTCGTCCCGTAGCTTTGGCTCGCGTCTGTCGATGCGGCCCCTGGGGGCCTGGGAATGAGGGGTGTTGTGCTGGTCGCCGTATCCGGTCGCTGAGAGGCTGTAGTAGCAGTAGCGCTTCGCGTTGACGTCGATGCATCTGGCGGTTGCAGGGTTGTATTGGTCGTGGAGCTTGTGCCTGGTGTTGGCTCTGCGTGTGGATGATCTGGCGATGCCGAAGGAGTTTCGCTTGCTGTGGCTTCATCTGGTGGTGTAGCCTCGTCTGGTGCTGCCGTCTCATATGACACTGTCGTATCAGCTGGTACACCATGGCTCGGTGAAATGGTCACTACAACAACTGGTGTTGAGGATGTGTTCTGATCTGCCGCGGCGCTCTCTTGGGAAACGCCGTCTATGGCTGTTTCCGTCGTCGCACTTGATCCTGCATCGGCCTGTGCCGATTTTTTCCTCATACTAGCAAGCCAAGACTTGGCCAAGTACCGTGTTGCTACATATGTCTTGAGTTCTACGCTCAAGAGGAACACTATCGGCCATGCCAACATCAACCATACGAACGGTATTATGGCAATGTTGACATAGCCAGACGCTTGGAACTTGAAGAGGCCACACATCTTTCCTTTCGCCTCATCAGGTAGCGTATCAGTATACGTCGGATTGTCGTGGTCTTCCGCACTTGCAATACTCCAAGCGTCGAACTGGGCTCTTGCAAGAGATGATTTGAACAAGTGCTCAGCCTCATGCTGCCAATGGTCATCAGGCAGTGGCATGGATCGAGATTGGCCGACTCGTTCTTGGGCCAACAGTCCACTACCGAGACGAAGTTTTATGGCGTCATAGGTGTTCGAGCTCTTCAATGCGTACTTCAAGAGCCAGTAGGATGGTGTGGTGTGCCCGCCATCCGGTACCGCATGATTTGCATGCCAACATGGCGACCCCGAAGGTGCACAGAAGATGGTCTCATCAATACAGGCGAAGGCTCTTGCTTTTGGCTGGGAGTTGTAGTAGTAATCGCTTTGATCACCATGGTACCGGAAGGCTTTATCGGCTCTGAAGATTGGGTCGTAACTTGGTTTAGTGTAAAGAATACGTAAGGTTGTCACGAAAAAGAGACTCAAAGTCTTGGTTATGTCTTGCAGTAGCCCTGTAGCGTTCAGGTATTCTGAAGGCTGATAGAAGTCGCAAACCGTGTCGAGTAACGATGTGGCGTAGGTACTATAAGTTTCTTAGGCACGTTTAATAGGAGCCAGAGGTCTCGCCTCCAAACTTACTCGACTTTGTAAACAGGCGCTTGCCATTCAAATGGATGGCCAGTCATACGCAAAGTGTATTTTGAAAGTAGCACTTTTTCTGAGCAATTTTTGGTGTCCCAGAGCTGTCCATAGAGGTATCTGTATCCAGACTCGTTTGTCCTGCTGTTGGTGAAGTGTTCCACGAAAGGCCAATCTGCACTCAGTGGTGCACATGTTGTCTTGCGTCTGAACTTGTGCATAGACTCCTCGTTAATACCAAGTACTCCTGAATCAACCAAATTCGTGTCAAAGGTGATGGCCGCGCCGGGTTGGTAGCGCCCAACACAGACTCCGGTGTGCTGAAAAGGGCAGGTGTCCTCTCGCCTGTCATACCCGATGGACGAATTGTAGAAGAAGTCGCACTTGGTGGCTTTGACTTTGGTGTCAGGGTCATAGCAATCCTGCGCATAGGCGGCTGCCCGCCGTTCTCTTCCCACCATCAGTATATCTGCACGTACAGCGTCCTCTTCACCTCCTTTCTTGTTGTCATACTCGTAGAGACCACAGACATCTGACTTCAACAACGCAGATCTGCTTCTTGCAACGTTTTCGGTCAACACTGTCCCCACAATGGATTGATACAATACCAACAAGACGGATGCAAGAAGAAAGGAGCGAAAGAAGCGATGTCGAGCTTCCCAGGAAGGTTCTTGGGCGATTATGGAGGACGCCAAATACTTCCATCCGCCCTCCGTACTAATGGCAGTATTCACAGTACCGGTCGGAACAAGGCGGCAGGCAGCTTCATCGTCGCGAGTATTTGGCGTCTTTGCTGGCGAGCGGTAGTATTTGACACACGATATCGTACTGATTACAATTCGCAGGACGTAGGGTGACGCCAGGGTAAGGCTGATAGCAATGCCGACTTTGAACCATTGCGCTGCCCGCCAGGAATCGTGTTGCAACGTCTGAAAGCCTACCGTCCTATTAGTACATGATTCCCAAAGTCGAGCGCACACTCACTGTGTCCCTCGCTATGATCCCTCCATCGTCCCGTCTGCGGCATGCTCAGAAGCGACATTAGTAAATATGCAGTATGGTGGTTCGGCTCGTGAAATCAAAGTTGTTCAGTGATGCCCTGGGCTCCAGACGCATCAGCCTCAAGTGGACGGGCGTGAGGAACGACACGATTTATCAGAACAACAGAATCTGTGCTGCAAGTTGTGAGTGATAGGAACCGCTCCTACCATGAATGCTGAGCAACTCAATAAACGTTCGCTTCATTCGAGTTGCACAGTCTCTTAGGTCGCTTCGACTTGAGCTCGTTGTCAACGTTTGTATCCGGGGCGTACTGCGAGCATGAATCTCGAAAACGCCGGCGAGGCACATCCATGCACTTAGGCTGAATGCTGACAACAATGGTCGCGCGCATTCTTGTCAGGCTACGCTAACCACTTGGATTGGTTCAGACGTGCATGACGGGGGCGTTTTCCTACGAATAAGATACGGCCTGTCTCATTGGCAACACGGGACAACACTCGTAGGAGCAACCGAGGAGACCGCATGACGCATGCGCTCATTAAGTGCAGAAATGTCCAGGCGTATTTCAGGTTGACTTAATAGTAAGAACTGCGGATAGACATGTCGAGTTAGTGAATGAGTTACCGTCAATGTCGCGGCGAGTGGACATACCTTATCTTTACGACACCGCATGTCCGACAAAGCGCGGACCGCAGTCCTTCAGCCTTTGGTTTTTCTGCAAGCGCGATTGCCTCCCGCCACGTACGCCGCGTACCCGCCAAACGATATAACGAGGCGCGCCCCGAGCTAGACTCCGCTACTGCATACGATGGAAACACACGTCCCCTGGAAGTGGTACGAACCACACAAGCGATTCTACAAGTACGATGCTTCTGGTAATATTGTATGGTTGGAATCAAGCCAGACTAAGGATAGCGGAGATGAGGGTCCTTGGCCAGATTGGGAGTATTCCTACAGCTATAGTCGTTACTACAGGTACGAGTATGGTGATGACAACACCATTCTCCAAACTCTTTGGAGCCGTCCAGGTCCACCGGAAGAAGCCCAAGCCGATATCAGATCAGGGCGCTGCTCAGAGTGGATCTGGTCGCCTCACTACAACAGCTATCACAAGCTCATGTACGGGAAAGAGGATATTGTTCTCAACACAATATGGGAACCAACGTCAATAAAGGACGCAGAGATGCTCATAAATAGTGCAAAAAGAGCCGTACATTTTGCATACCGCGGTAACGGATATCTTACAACGAGTTATCACATACCGCCTCAGTGAGTTTTTGGCGTCATGGCCAAGTGTGATATGCTGACACCATCGCAAGATACCGCACGTTGGAGAGCGATAAAGACCGGCAACGGGATGACCGGAACGACCGTAACCGGCATGAAAGGAGCGGCTACAGAGATAGCGATCCTTCGGGTGGGAGACAGCCTCCTGATGACGGAGACCAGCCAGACCACGGCGACGATACGCAATCAAACCCTGGGAGCTCCTATGGCCAATATCCCCCATATGCTTCCACGTATTACGCGCCACCCGCGTATCTCAAGGCTCAGCATCCAATTATCTGGCAATAACTCGAGAGTGGCGGAAAGGGAGCTCGATCGTCTCTCACATGCGGAATCTGCGAAAATGGCGTCGCGTCCACCAGATCTCCTTGCGACAGGGCCGCGTTGGTAATGGCTTGCGGTTCCCGTCGCGGTCGGATGAGGGTAAAGAGTGATCCACATAACCCACTCTGTCGCATTGTCGTACCATGGAGATTGTTGCCGCTGTTTGCGATGATAGAATGATGGTGTTAGATCGCGTCGTGAACATGCCGGAGGCAGGAGACAAGAGGCAGTCGCGTGTTCGGTGCGATGCCGAACGCGTAACCTTCCTTACGTCATCATCTTGACGCGTCAACGTAGCCAATATGAGCTGCACCTTCTGAGCGTCTGCTTTTGATTGTACACACGACCCTTGAAACTGTACATACAAACGCGACGCGATCACTAGCCGGTTGTACTGTTATCGATCACAAAATGTTCACGCGTTCCTCGAAAGCCTCGGGAGCACATGCAACGCGTGTATCTGCCCAAAGTCCCTCGCAAGCATGTCATTTATACTTTGATCCAGCAGAAAACTGGATAGAGGATACTGAGTCGACTAGAAGCTCTTCGCCATGTTTCTCATATTGACTTAGCTCCCACGACATCTAAAAGCATACCCATGGCATTACGCGATCTGGTAGAGCTTGCGAGCCCCGGAACACACACCCTCACAAGAAGCGTGACACCAAGTGCTCAACTTCGTTAGTATTCTCACGGCCTTGATGATAGGCCGCCGAGGCGGTTTTGGTTGCATGTCAGGCCGCCTGCTGCGCCCTTCTCAAGGTTTACCACTTCGGGCCTAGCGTTTCCCGTTTCGGAAACCCAAGACTTCCGCACGCGTGGCTACGAGGTAGGGCCTTATAGAGAAGTTTCTCTTGAAGATGGCAAAGTCGACCCATAAGTAATACTGCTCGCAGTTCATGCTGCGCAATCTGCAATTCGACCATTCTAGGCCTACGCTATAGAAGATGACTGCCGTAACCACGACCTTGGCCAAGGACGATAGGAGTGCTGCTAGTAAGTAGTCCGAGCACTGGATACTCATGCGAGATTACTGACCATCCTGTAGCAGACACCGACACCTCCTCGCTGGTGCACGTTGAACCCACCGCCGAGAATGCCGACCTCTACACCATGGACCTCCCAGAGTACACTCAACAGGTCGCGGGCGGAGAAATCTCGGTAGATGCAAAGTCGACACAAAACGAAAAGCAGCACAACCAAGACCAGTCACCAGCATACGATCCACTCCCAAGCCCAGAACCACGGAGTCTTCAAGAAGAGCACGAGTATGACATGCAACAGGATGTTAGCGACCAAGAAAACCCATCGCATACACGTCCATCAACCCCTCCAGCCTTGACACATGACTTCACAGAAGCTGATGCAACGGCTAGCATTGCTAGCGTACGAGCATGTAGCATCCTTCACGATAGACCAGCAGTATGGCTAGTCAAGCGGAAGAGCCTTGCCCTGTCGCCGCTTGCGGCTGCGGTGCTTACTAAAGAGGGTCTTCTTCAACCCAAAGACTTGCATCTGTAAGTAGTCTCGCCATGCAGCAAACGTCGACTACCACTGACACCCACTACAGCATATCTCAATACTCAGACATGAAGCACGACCCCACCGACCCGGTATCCGCTGCTTTTCTCACTACCTACGACGTGGTAAGCGGAATCATGCTGGGTCTCATAGCAGGACCCGTCGAATTGGGAAAACAAACAACACCACTGCTACTGCAGCGCGAGATAAGACGCAAAGAGAAGCGCGACGGGACTGCTAGCCCATCAAGTCCTCTAGACACCAAAGACTCGCCTCATGCGGCACGCCAGGTAGCCCTCAGTACTGCCAAAGGATTCGGACGCATCATCACCACCAGTCTGAAGAGTCCAGCGATTGTCATGCATGGTATTACTCGAGGTTTCCATAACCTTCCCAAAGCGTATGGTGAGGAGGTACGGCAGTATGAGAATGTGACTGGGTTGAGGAGTGGACTGCTGGTCAGCTTCAAGAGCTTTGGTTACGGACTGAGTGATGGCATAAGGGATCTTATAATCAAACCCATCGATGGTGCGGAGAAGAATGGTGTCCTGGGTTTTGCTGCTGGATGTGCGACTGGCGTTATGAATGCGGCCTTTAAGCCTGCTGCTGGTAAGTGGCGCTTTGTTATAGATGACGACTGGTTGGCTGACTGAACGTAGGCGCATGCGGGCTTGTTGGTTACTCGTCGGTTGGGGTATATAAATCCATTCGCAATATCGGTTCGGTAAAGAAGGAAGATCCGATACATGTGGTGCAAAGGCTCGGCGAAATCGAATATCAACAGGCGAGTGATGCGGATAGGCTGTACATAGTGCGGCTCTGGTGTCAAACGCAGATGCGCGTGCGCATATGTTAGCTTGTTGAACACACCGTCTCGGTTTGTCGATTGTTGTGATTTCATGGTTCAAGTGATGTATTGCGTGAGAAGAAACTTCGCTCGGGTCGAAGATACTATCCCTTAACCAATGCGTTGGCCGATCTAGCGTTTCCAGCCTTTAGCTCGATGCAGAGGCCTTGCTTTCCGGTACGCCATACGCCCTCTTCATCAAGTAGTGACTAAGTTGCCATTTCTGAGTTTTGTCAGTAACCCATAGTTTCATGAGGCTTGGTCATCAACATACTACTACTTGCTGACTCTCGAAGTAGTCCTTCCATTCCTTGTCCTCCGCGAGATCGACGACCACGTCCCATGGCCACTGCTCAGACTCTAGCTCGACGAGAGTAAAGTATCTGTGTAGCTCTTTCTTGTCTTTGGTCTGGAACTTTCCGCCCTGCATCGTTGTTGCGTTGTCGACCTCGAAGAGGCGAAACCGCAATACGTCTGGTGAACTAGATATTGTGGGGCCGACGACTTCTCTGTAGTATTTCATGACTTCCTCTTCCTTGTCGGCTGGTACGCTCCATTCCATTGCCGCCACGCTTGCGACGTATTCGATGTCTATCGACATTAGTCCGTCATCGCCGGCTTTATCCGCACCCGTGATCTTACCACCACCGTCACCGGACCAGTCGTCTTGTTTCCAACTCTTGATTTCCCGATAGGACCGAAGATCAAGAAGTAGGCCTTTGAGCGAAGCCTGCAAATCGGCATTTGGTGGATGGTATTGTGCGTCGTACATGTCTTTGTTGGCTTGGTCGACACTCTTTATTTCCCATACGGTCATGTAAGGCCATGGCGCGTCCAACCTTCCCACTGGCTCATTCTCCATACCACTCGCTGTTACTTCGCAATGTAAAGCATGCTTTGCGTTGTGTGGATTCAGTGAAGGTAGGTGTACGTTCTCGTACCACTCTTCGCGTCCCTCTGGGATATTCGCCCATACGCAAGCTATGCCAGCCATGTTGTTCCGATTTCGCAGCGAGGTTTGTCGCAAGTTCAGTAGCTAAAATTCCTCTGGTTCCAGGGGTCCAAAGTGTTAAATGCAGGTGTTTGTGCCGAGCTGTCAGTCAACGTTTGCAACGGGGAAAAGATGGAGGGACAGCTAGTCTGCAACGTGACGCGGCTGTTGCCATATTATGACAGACCCTGATTCACAGCTGTGTATGATAGTCCCTACGAGACGGTCCGACCGTATTTTGCTCGACCAGTCCACCCTGTTTCGGAGGTAGATAAAGCGGTATATACGCCGTCGCTTAGCCAATGGACGATGATGCGAGCGGACGTGATTGGCTATTGATACCTGAGACGCAAGGCGATAAATTCTTTCAGGACGTAGGCTAATGTGCATGTGTCGTAGGCGATCGACGTTCCCCACAACCTGCCACGAATGCCTGAAGTCGGAGAATTCGAAGCGCGGGTAGCGCCGAAAGGATCAGAGATGTGCGAGCATCAGCCGATTGATTGATGCCAAATCCATGGCTTCACCGGTTGTTCGTGTAGGATTTTCTTATCTGAATTCTTGAAGGTATAGGAAGCGCATTGTGCATGTCAGGAGTGGCACTAAGGTTGGGCCTTCTTGCGGTCCGCTACGACCCTAGCGCCGGCAGCACAACGGCGTTACCCCCGCTTAGGGGCCTTGGACGCCTGTCCTTACAAGACACATGCCTGTCGACACCTCGTGAGCCAACCTTGGCCCAAGTCACGATGCTTCTGTTTCTTCCAAACATTCCGAAATTCTGCGACTTCTTCACGGGCCGAATCGTAAAAGTTGCCCTCGCCCGGTGACTGACGTGTATGTCTTTCTGATCATCTGACAAGATAGATGAATCGCCGGTTATATAGAGCCGCTTGCAGTCGCACGTGAAAGCGAGCTCGAATTTTACCAGGACACCGTGGACGGACTACCAGTCGATCGGTCGTAGGCAGATCGACGCGCAAGGAGATCTCGGTGTTCGTGCCCGTGCTTAGGAAGGTGCTTTTTCTCACAGACATGGTTCGCTCGACCCATGGCAGTATAGTAAACTTGGATTTTGCCCCAGGCCCCTGGACGAGTGCGCCATAGTGATCTACTCTCGCGGCACTATGTACCCACATCTGTGCCGTATCTCAAACGCCACAGACCTCTGAAGAAGGCAACATTCGCGATGCCTTCCGCTACAGTCCAAGAAACAGAAGCCTCAACAAATCTCTCGGTATTCAATCTGGTACCACACTTGGGGCCAATGGCAGACAGCGCTCAATCAAGATCTAAGTCGAAGTCTGGCTCGTGGCTTACCGGCTCTATGGGTGTCGGAAGAAGAGCTGCCCTGTACGGAAGATAGCCCGTGCTCTCGCGGTCCAGAAACGAGAGTAATCAATCGTGTCCGCACGGATGGGGTTAGGATGATCATCAACAGCGTTCTTCCAGGCGGGCGACAAGGGGGCGAGGAGCGACTACACCACAGGTCTATCTTGAGCATGCACAAAAACAACTTACAACGAACAGAATGGCTCGAAGGCCGTGAAGTGGCGTGTATGTATCTGCCGACAGCCACCAGATCATATAGCCGTCTGTTTTAGCAAACTACACTGGCAGCTTCTATGAATAGTAGCGCTCCAGCGCTTCTCAACAGACAGCGGAAAAACATCGTCGGTAGATGAGCACCAACAATCTTCCCGTGTGCGCAATCAAGTACCTGGGAATAGCAATGATCTGATAAGTTCTCCTGCCAGATCGTGCAGCTACCCGATGCAGGGACCTGGCAGGTGTTATGCCGTACGAACTTGTAGAATAGCCAGACCAGAAGGCATAATCCAATGAGGGTATATAAAAGCTTGACGTCTTGTCGATTACAACCTCATCTTGATCAGGTCATCTCAGCTTGCTCATACAGTCTTCTTCTCTTGCAGTATTGTACTTAAAATTCCAAGATGCGGATCTTCCTTCTCTCCGCTATCACATCGACCTTCTTCGCCCTTGCCTACGGCGCTGGAAGTGCCGTCCAAGGCACCGGGTCAACCACTCGTCAATGGTCCTGCTGCAAGAACTCCTGCTCTTGGCCAGGCAAAGCTCTTGTCGATAAGCCAGTCCTGACGTGCGACGCAAGCGATAATCTCCTCGACAACTACAACAGGCGCGATGGCTGTGAAAGCGGCGGTGGCTCATATGCCTGCTCTGATCTCAGCCCATGGGCTGCGAGTAATGACTTGGCTTATGGCTTCGCTGCAGTCAATCTGGCTGCTTCGAACGAATCTGCCTGGTGTTGCTCTTGCTACTCGTATGTTCATCCAGTTCGATGCCCGAGCAGTGACTGATAAACTCTAGTCTGACGTTTACTTCCGGCCCAGTCAATGGAAAGAAGATGATCGTCCAGGTCACGAATACCGGATCTGATCTAGGAGAAGATCAATTCAACATTGCTATCCCTGGTGGTGGCGAAGGTTCCACCCAGGGATGCACGAAGCAATATGGCGGCGCGGATGTCTGGGGTCAAGACTATGGTGGCGTAGCGCATCGCGACGACTGCGACGCCCTCCCTTCTGCGCTGCAAGCTGGCTGTTACTGGCGGTTCGACTGGTTTCGAGGAGCTGACAATCCTTCGGTCAACTGGGAGAAGGTGAAGTGCCCTGAAGCTTTGTCTGGCGTGTCTGGCTGCCGCCGCAACGATGACCCAATCCCGGGGCAGAATACTCCTTCGCCGACGCCTACAACATCTGCTCCAATATCTTCTGGTACTGTACAGCCGGGAGGTCAATGTGGTGGGAAGTCCTACAAAGGTCCCACCCGATGCGTAGGAGGCACCGTCTGCACCTATGTCGACGAGAATTCGTACTATTGTCTTGCGGACCCAGCTAACACAAGGACAACTCCAACGACTACAACCTCTGCTAGTGCCGCACCTACTATTGGTCTACCGTATGACCAATGCGGCGGCAATGGTTGGACTGGTCCCAGGACATGCAAGGATTCGGTGTGCGTGAGAGTCGATGAATGTGAGTCGCGCTGTTCCGATCATGTCACGCATACCATTCCGAACCTCATACTGACGTATTGTAGATTACTCGCAGTGTCAGCCACCGGTCTCATCTCAGAGATCCACCAGCACGCGAACTCAGACAACTGCTAGACCTACATCTACTCCACCTGCTCAACCAGCACCGCCGTTCACTCGCACCCGGCGCACGACCACGACCAGACCCGCACCACCAGTGGCTACGGGCCCAGTACAGCTCTATGACCAGTGCGGTGGCCAGACGTGGCAGGGCTCGACGACTTGTAATCAGGGCCTGGTTTGCTTCAAGGTCGACGAGTACTATTCGCAGTGTCAGAAACCGACCTAGAGAAGTGGAGGTAAACAACGTTGGTGTGATAGATCAAAGGCGGTTGTGTTGTTGCTGATAGAGAAGTATCTTCGATCGTACATGTAAGTATTGGTTGGATGTGGAAGTCGTAGCAAGCCGGAATACAATGCGATTTTGTTTGACATCAGAAGCATGTTCCCCTCTTTCTCCTTGCTCTTGAACTAACTCATAGCTTCGCCTTAACCCCAAAACTCTTCTGCACAGCCTCAACCCCCCTCTTCGCAACATCTTCATCCTGACTCGGCAACCCCGTACTACACCCCACAGCCCCCACAACAACCCCATCCTTCACAATCGGCACACCACCCGCAATCGTCATAAACCTGCCTCCATTGCTGTGATTGATGCCATACGCCGGCCCACCAGGATACACATTGTCTTTGTAAACAGAGGTAGGCGCGCGATGACCTGCAGCTGTGAAAGCCTTGTCGA